GCAGGCGGGATGAGAATTGTTGCCCAGAGATATCGATGTTGGAATATCTGGATATATCTTCAAGAGCCTCCATGGTCCTTCAAGACGGACTCTTTGGAGATATGGAAAGGGCACAACTCATCTGGAATAGTGTGAAATGGTACATGTCTCCCTCTCGGGGACACTGTTTGGAGATGATGTGTAATCAAGATTCCTGTGAAAACAAACGTTTTGCTCCAGACATCGTCGAAAACTGATCGTCGCGAACTCATCACATCTATGAACATGTGAGTTCCGCCTGAGACACCCTTACACACAATGACATGTACGCGGCAATGCATTTTACAGCAACTACCGCTTTGCTTGAGACATCACATAATACTGAGTATAGCGAATTCGGCAAATCTTCCAAGCTGTGCGTTTCGCCTGAGGCATCCTCAAATAATGATGATACGGATTAGTCATGGTGCTATGCCAGAGATGAAGGTCAGAGCTAATCACGATTGGAACTCTGGAAGAGATCATAAAGTTCGGCCTCCTTCCTGCTGTAGGAATTAAACCACAATCCCGTGGATAAATATATACAAAAGATAAGAAGAGGATACTTTATCACCCGTTTGATCCTGTCATCTGCCTCCTCTGACGTCGGCTGACGTCCCCAGGCTTCGAAAGCACATCTTCTGCGGCAACTCATGGGAGCCTCCAAAAACATCTGTCTGGTTGTTGCGAATCGACGCTGGGTCGCATTAAAACAAGAAGAGGCGCCACGAAATCTGGGGAGATAGCATCGCCCCCCACCATGGTCTCCACCCCTACCTCTGGTCATCACCCCCCCTTTGCCTAGAGGCCTCCTATGTGGGGTCGGAGTAGATGTGGTCGGAAGATCGCGCCGCATCGCTCGTATATCGGCAATGCATCGGGGATGCACCGTCGACGCATCGTCGACGTCGACGTGAGCTCCACATCGAGCCGCATCGGCGATGCATCGGCGATGCGGCGCGATCCTCTGACCCCATCTACCCCGATCCCATCTAGGAGGCCCACAATGGGGGCTCGGCCACAAGAGACCTTCCATAAGAGACCCAACCCTGAGACCCCAGGACGTCACTTTGATGTTGGGTGTGGGCACACCACTCTTTCGATGGCGAAGCCGTCGGAGCCCACGAAGCCCGGGGGGTACCCTGGAGGCAGGCAGGGCGTTTCTTGGCATGGGTCCCCGGGCGAAGAACGGTATAAAAAAAACTGTTCGCTGTCGGGGGCGCCTGTCCCAGGGCGGCTGGGAAAGTTTATACCCCTACGGTGGCACCGTAGGGGTAGAAACTTTCCAGCCGCCCAGACCGCCCGACAGCGAAGTTTATGTTATACCGTTCTTCGCTCGCTGACTATAGACCGGGTCGGGCGAAAGGGGGGGATAGCAAAGGGGGGGGGTGAGAATCAGCTCACGTAGCTGATTTTCCCGGCGCCTCCCGGCGCCGGAGGCGGCTATGTATCGAGGAATGGGCCCCTCGGTGAGGCCGAATATCTGCCAGCAAATTTCGTAACCCCCAGCCTTTCCCAATGCCCCCCTTTCGCCCGGCCCGAATAGACCATCACCCCCCGCTTTGCCGCCCCCGAGGATCGCGGGCAGCGTGGGCTCTTCCCGCGAAGCCACCTCGGCAGCCAGGCCGTGCGCGGTCCGCGCGCGGGCCGCCGCCCCCTCCTTCTGGGCGGCGGCGCGCGGGAGGAGGCGTTCGGGCGCGCAGCCGCCGGGGAGGTGCTCGAGACGAACCCCCACGGCCCGCCTGGCACCCACAGATCATGTCCTTCCTCCCTCCACCTTCTTCCTTCGCACCTCCTCCTTCGCACCTGCTCCTCCTCCTGCTCCTCCTCCTCCTCCTCCTCCTCCTTCCCTCCTCCTTCTCCTTCCTCCTTCACTTCCTCCTCCTTCACTTCCTCCTCCTCCTCATCCTCCTCCTTCTCCTCCTCCTCCTCCTCCTTCACTTCCTCATCCTCCTCTTCCACTTCCTCCTCCGCTTCCTCCTCCTCCTCTCCCTCCACCCTCCTTCCCACCTCCTCCCCCCCTCCTCCCCTCCCATCTCCTCTTCTCCTCCTCTCCCCTCTTCTCCCTCCTCCTCCTCCTCCTCCTCCTCCTCCTCCTCCTCCTCCTCCTCCTCCTCCTCCTCCTCCCTCTCTCCTCCCGGCGGAAAGACCCACGGGCGCCAGAGTTGGCCCCCTTCCCCCTTCGCCAATGGGACCCGTGGGGATGCAGGGGGGGCTTTGAATTAAAGAGCGTTACTTACACCTAGGGCAGCGAGTAAAAATCCGACACTTCCTTAGAGGAGGGGGAGGAGGAGGAGGAGGAGGAGGAGCGGGAGGCGGAGGGGGAGGAGGAGCGGGAGGAGGGAGGAGGAGGAGGAGGAGGAGGAGGAGGAGGAGGAGGAGGAGGAGGTGGAGGAGGAGGAGGAGCGCAGCAGCCGGGGCGGCCAGGGAAGGGAAGAGAAAAAGGGGCCGGCAATCCAGCTCTCATGGGCCGCACCAGGCGCCGGAAGAAGGACAGGGTGGGGCGAAGAGGGGGGAATGCCAAGGATCGGGCGCGAATTAGTGGGGGGGCGATTAATAAGGGGGAACAACCCAGACCCGATTCCGGTTGTGCAAAAAAAATAAATAAACACGACTGGAGGTGTTTCGCTATTTTTGGCCTCCAGGGGCCCTTGCTGGGCCTCGGGATCGCTGAACATCAATTCAGCATGAAAAGCGGTTTCCGGGGAAGGGGTCCAGACCTCTGAGAATCGACGTTGTGAAAAGATCAAGACGCCGGGGGTCTGGGAAAGGTGCCATTTTCGTGTCCTAACGGACCCCTCTTGGGCCCTGAAAGGGCATCCGCTGGTCAAAACACAGAGAACATCCAAGGGTACCCTCCCCAGAGTGCACAAAAGCATCCAACAACCACGAAGATGATTAGGGTACCCTCCCCGAACTGACCTCGATATTAAACCTCGGTCCGACTGTAATGGGGACATGACACTTACGGAGCTCAGGGTTGTGAGGTTTGCAAAGGGCACAAATCTCCGCCAACCTGTCCGCCTCCAGGTGGGGAACCCCCGTTGGATGGCATGGCCCATGAAAAGGTTGGGGTCCTCCACCTCTTCCTCCTCCTTCAAATTTGCGGGCGCGCAGAGAATCCAACCACTCCCGTTCCAGCATAGACTGCGATTACCCTGGACGTCTCTACTCCGCTGGGGGTCGGCGGGATGGCGTAAGCCACTCAAATCATGGATTACGTCAGCAGGAGGAGGCACGGGAACGATATTGGCAAGATGCACGTCGACCCCAATCCCCAACTTAGTATGGCTTCCGACTGGCCAGGCAATGTTGGGGCATGCGATGGGGGGTGCATCCTCGATAGGAGTGCGGCCGAACAGCCTCTCTCCCTTCCAAGAATGTATCCCCGAGCTCCGTCTTCAAACGGTAAGCTCGTTTTTGGGGGGACTCGGAAATCGGGGGCGAATGCTCGCCTGCAAAAACTACCGGCGAGGAACGGGAGCAGAATATTGGAGGCCACGGGTCGGCCACCGCGCCGCGAAGCACTGAGCGGACCTTCCTCAAATGCTCGGCCACCCTCAACAGTGGGTCTCAGAAAGAACACGCGTTCAAAGCCCCATGCCGAGGAGAAAACGCCATAAACACGAACATCTCTGGCGATCCGCACGTATTTCTTGGATCTGCGCTGGGCCTGGGCGGCGCCGAAGGCGCCGCCCGGGGGGGCCCAGCGGGTGGCGCAAAACGTTTACAATGGGGGCGTTGACCTAAGGAACTCCAAATACGGAACGAGGCCCCTTTCTCACATAAGTTGAACTTCGATTTCCACATGTGAAACCTCTGGAAAACCGAAGGCAAACTGCAGAACAATCAAGGAACACCGAGCCCCTCCCCAACGAAAAGGGTTCCTTCTTCAGGGCCCCGACTGTATGCTCATGGCGTTTTTTTTTGCTCTTCGACTCTACGACGGCCCCCCGAGCTCTCGGGGGCGGTGGCTCCAGGGGCCCTCACTCGAGAGGGGCCCCGAGCGTGGCCCAAAAGACAAAGGGAATCCAGGCGCGGAGGCGGGATATGCCGAAGGCCACTGGATGAACGGCAAGGAGTAAGAGAATACTCTGGATGAGGGGAGGGGACCCAAGAAGAACAGGGCGACGAAATCAAAACATATCCACTTTTCCCTGGCAAGGTCCATCCTGAGCCCAGCAGCGGTGAATATGCCACGAAAGTGGCGACAGTTGCGCAGATCGCAAACCCCCCAGGGGGCGGCGAGGTCCCGAGGTGATCCGCGTGGGACGCACCTCCGCTGGGCCTCCCAGGAGCCCGCGAAAGTAGCGACAGTTGCGCAGATCGCAGCCCCCAAGGCACCGCGAGGTTTCGAGGTAATCCGCATGGGACGTACCTCCGCTGGGCCTCTCAGGAGCCCGCGAAAATGGCGACAATTGCGCAGATCGCAGCCCCCAGGGCACCGCGAGGTCCCGAAGTGATCCGCGTGGGACGCACCTCCGCTGGGGCTCCCAGGAGCCTGCGACAATAGCGACACTTGCGCAGATCGCAGCCCCCAGGGCACCGCGAGGTCTCGAGGTGATCCGCGTGGGACGTACCTCATCCCTGCTCCTCCTCCTCATTTTCCGTCCCGTTCCTCCTCCTCCCCTCATTCCTCGTTCCTCCCCCTTTTCCTCCTCCTCCTCGTCCTCCTCCTCCTCCTCCTCCTCCTCCTCCTCCTCGTCCTTTATCCTCCTCCTCGCTCCACCTCCCCGTCCACCTTCCCACTCCGCCCCCCTCCTAATCCGCCTCCTCCTCTTCCTCCTCTTGTTCCTCCTCCTCCTCCTCCTCCTCCTCCTCCTCCTCCTCCTCCTCCTCCTCCTCCTCCTCCTCTCTTTTCCCCCTCCTGCCCTGCTCCTCCTCACCCCTCTTCTCTTCCGCCCCCCCACCCGCCACGAGGCGGACGACGCTGCCCCCGCACGGGCCCCCCGACGCCCGCTGGCCCCTGCGGGCCGCCGCTCCTTCTCGCACGCGCTCACCGCCGCGCTGCACGCCGCCGCGTCCGGGCCCCCGGGGCAGCCGGCCAGCAAGTCCTCTTCGCGCGCGCAGGGGGCTTTCCGTCTTGGGCCCCCCTGGGGCCATCTTCCTCCTCCACCTCCTCCTCCCCCTCCTCCTCCTCCCCCCCCTCCTCCTCCTCCTCCTCCTCCTCCTCCTCCTCCTCCTCCTCCTCCTCCTCGCTTCTCTTCTTCCGATGGATCAGAAGAGGAGAAGCGAAAAACAAATAAGAAAAACAGGAAACGGTATAACAGGAGGAGGAGGTCCAACTCCAGCGGCCCCAGCCGAACCCACAAGAAGAGGAACAAGGGCCGAATTGGCAAGGCACCGCCGCGAAGTTCTCATGGGCATCCGCACGAATCAACCCGGAGGGCCGATCCAGAAAATGAGAAACAAGCCACTGGGGCCATATCCCGTCGATAAGGAGCGGCAATGTGTCATCCAGAAGCGGACAACACCGACAGAAGGGGTCCTCACTCTTAGCCCAAGCCCCGAGACGAACGCGCCGCCACTCTACCTAACATTGGCTGGTGTGCCAGAAATATTGGGCACCACTGAACAGTCATCGTCGAAATTATGCAAATACTTGACGTTGTCTCTGCTTGCAGAGAAGCAGTAACTGAATAAGCTTCGGGCCAGTGTGGAGGTCCGGGGGAAGGAGGGAGCAGCATCGGCGTCAGACGATGACGATGATTTGGCATGCGACGCGTCATGCGCGCCAACGCCCTTCTGCCAAAGGCAAGGGGCCTCCGCCGCCGCGCGTCTTTGTGAATGCGTCGGCGGAGACATTCAAGCACAGGGCGGGCGGGGCCCCGCATGCGCCCCAAGAAGGGCGCCAGTTGGGCCCAGCAAGGCTCGAGCCCCCACATGGCGGCAAAGAGAGAGAGAGAGAGAGAGAAAAAAAAAAAAAAAGAGAGAAACAGAGAGAGAGAGAGAGAGTGGGGGAAACAAATGATACACACATATGTATATATATATATATATATATATATATATATATATATAGAGAGAGAGAGAGAGAGAGAGAGAGAGAAATAAAGAGAGAGAGTGAGAGAGGGAAACAAGAGAGAGAGAGAGGGAGAAAAAAGAGAGGGAGAGAGAGAGAGAGAGCGGAAATATAGAGATAGAAAGAGAAAACAACAAATATCAATCAGAGCAAAGGCAGAGGCAAGGACAGAGGCCAGGCTAGGTAAACTCGCACATCTCTTGGGGGCGGGAGAGCCTAGAGCTTGCATCGAACAACAAAGCTATCTCTGCCTACAGAGAAGCAGCAACTGAAGGCTGACGGGCCCTCGGCCTACCTACGGTGGAGGTCCGAGTGGGGGAGGGGGCGGCATCGGCGTCAGACGATGACGATGACCTGGCTCGCGATGTGCCACGCGCGCCACGAAGCGCAACTGGCCTCCGCTGCACTCTCCCTGAAGTCGCCGTGGAGCTCCGGCGCGTCGCGCAGTCTCGTCTCGGTCTCCTGCCGCGCGGTGCTCCGGGCCTCAGGCAGGGCAGCGCTGTGCCAAGCGCTGAAGCGGGAGACCGCGCGGGCTGGCACCGGCATCTACCGCCTGACCCGAAGCGAGGCGCGCTGGCGCCTCCGGGGCCAGGCACGGCGCGCCGGCGCCTGCTGAGCCAACGGCGCTGCAGAAGGGCCAACCCCGCGAGGGGCCCGGGCACTCGGGCCCGCGCCGCGGGCGCGCGCGCGCCCCTTCCCTTTGCTGCAGGGGGGCCGACCCAGTAGAGGGCCCCGCCGTTCGGGCCTAGGCCGCGCGCCGGGCTTGCCGGGCGCTCGCGCCATCGAGCCGGCGGCCTGCAAGACGACGCGCGTGACCTCGTCGCCAGGCCCGAAGCCCAGAGCAACGCGGAGGCGCCGCGCGCCGTTGAGGTGCACGAGGCGAAGGGCGAGCCCGTCGAGGTAGAGCTACTCTGGCGGGCGCCCCGCGCGCCGCTCGCCCCCCCCCCCCCCCCGCGGAGGTAGCTTGCCCCATCCAGCGCCCGCCGCCCCCCAGGGTCAGCGCCGCCGGCTCCAGCGAGCCTGGCAGCGTCAGCGGGCGCTGGATCTCCAGCGCCCCGCTGGCCGATCCTGGCGCGCGGGCGCGCGTCGCCTCGTCCTCGGCCCCTGCCTTCGCCGCCGCCGATCCGGCTGGCTGGCCAAACAGCGCGGTTGCTGCCGCGGCTTTGCGCCAAGGTCGCTGCCCGTCGCGGTCCTCTTCGCAGGCGCGGCAAGCCCCGACGCGTCGGGCGCCGCGAACTCGTCGCGATTCCGTTTGCGAATGAAGACTCAAATGGCACCGAAGCCACCTTCGGCAAGCCTCTCGGATCTCCTCTCGTCGACACAGCGAGGGCCCCGACGCCGGGCGAGTCCAAGGGCCTGCTGGCCAAGCAGAAGCTCGAGAGAAATCTCAAAACTATGAAAACAAAGAAACCGATGAAAACAATGAAAGCCACGAAATCGATGCAGCCAGCAGGCAAGCCAGAGATCCCGACAAGTGCGCTTCTTCTTGGGGGCGTGACAGACGGCGTGTTCGAGTTCCTTGCGATGCATAAGCCGCCCAATAACCCTGGCGTGCCGCTCTCAAATCTGTGGAAGCGGCCGCATTCGACTGTGTATACTGACACGAGGGCCAAGTCCTGCAAATTACCCGATTATGAAGCCAAAGCACGCGCTCGTGCGGCAGAGCCCAAATCCCAGCTTTTCTAGTCGGCAAAGGTTGAGACGTGCGCGTAGTTGCGCATAGGGGTTAATTCGGTTGGCACTGCGTGGCAGCGCATCCAGTTCTCATCGGATCACTTTTAAACAATGTCTTGCGGCGCCACTGCAAAAGTACCAAACATGTGACCAAGACGTGCAAGCGGGGGTTCAGATGACAGGAGTAGGGGCAGGAGTAAGGAAAAGAGTAAGAGTGGGAGTATTGGTTGACCCAGGGAGCAACAGCTTCAGGCTACGCTAGCCCAGGGGATAGGAGCCCCAGAGACTAGAAGTCCCGGTTGGCGGGGTGCCCGAACTGGGATTGTTCTTTGCACTGCGCAACCCGCGCATAATCACGTCGCACATCGCGCCTCGCCCATGTGCCCACGCAGCCACTCACTCAATCACTCACGGACTCAATTACTCGCGCACCATCGCCTCAACCACAGTCAGCCTTATCATCGCCCAGTTCGGCCAACCCAAAAGTTTAGCCGAACTGATTTCGAACGCAAGCTCAAACTGCCCAATTCGACTTCATTAACCCAATCTGTCCCGATGGTAAAAAACGGATCTTAATCTCAACCAGCCCAACTCGACCTCATAAGCCGAATCAGTTCCGAGAGGGGGCGAGTTGCTTCGAAACTGAGAACCCCGCGTAAAATTCTTTTCTAGCGAATCCCACTTACCTCGGCTTCGAAGCGCGGCCCACCCACGCGATTGGACAACCTGGCCGCAGCCATTTCAGCCCCGAACGGCTCGCCGATTTTAGCTATCGAACGATGCCCCCGTCAAGGGATCAGCAGTTTCGACCTCTCCAAGGGCCGAACTTCCAAATGGGGGAGCGGCCGTTGTCCGTGGCAGAGCAGATCGCGATCGGAGACGGCAGCCCCCTGCCTGGGCGCCCGCCCATCGGCGACGAGCTAGTTCCAATGCTGAACGACATGCAACGCAACGCGGCCTCGCGGATGGAAGTCCTGCCTCATCGCGCGCACATGGAGGGGGCCCGCGTGTCGATCGAAGTTTTTCTGGTTCAGGTTACTTCCGCTATCTCAGGCATCGGCGCGAACTCGTCACCCACGCAGCGGGGCCTAGACCACATCGCCGACCGCGGCGCCGAACTGTCGCAAGACGTCGGCCTGGTCGCGAAGAGCATCCCTGGAACAGATTTTCGACGTGACGAAGATCACCGCGAGGATGAACCTAGCGCCGATCGGGGGGGCCCGCATGGGCGCGCCAGCTAAATTGCTCGCAAGGGTTAGCCCCCCTTGCCCCCCAAGTCGCGCGTGTTTTGCTGCCCTGACTTTGTGGGCGTCCTTTCACGGACGCGCATTCTGGTGCGCCCTAAGTCATCGGAAATACTGCCGACCTCTCGCAGGAACTATTTTGAAAAATCTTCGTGCTGGCCCAAGATACTTCCAGCGACGGACCTACAAAGATCCCGCAGAACAACTCCTGCGGGCGATCGGCAAACTTTGCGAGGACCACCAGAAATCTGACCATGTCTGATCGGTCTTTCAAATCAAGCGCCCCGCTCAAGAGCCAACCTGTAGAAATAATAGCGCTGCGCCGACGTCGCGCCGCGCAGACCCCATCGGTCCGTCGGAAAAACAGCCCCGGAACTCTGATCACCCCGGAAAGCTGGCGCTCGTTCCGCACCAAAGCGCACGCGGCGTTCAAGGTTGAAACAATTGCCGATCCCATGTTTCAGATAAGCCGTAGAGACGAAACGAACGCCCGGCACGCTGAAGTAACGGCTCGCGCAAATCAAAAAATCAAAAACGCGTGCCGCTTCTGATGTCTGACCGACTTATGATGTCTGTTTGACAGGCCGGCGTTCGCACGTGGAAAATCAACATAAACATATGGTTCGCATAGTATTTTGACTGAGTCAAAAGCGAATGAGACATCAGAAATGCATTTTTGCATTTGACCCGCGGACATTGTCATGACCGGTTTCTTGGGGCGCAGAAAGCAGGGCTCTGGCACTCGCGACGATTGAGAGATGGCAGCCGCGTTTTTGGGCGAGTCTTTTTCGCGCGAGGCGAACGAAACTGGAAATGCGCCCCAAAGGTCCATCTGATAGCACACCTTACGTGTGACCAGGCCCCGATATGGGGCAACCCGAGATACTACTGGACATATGCAGACGAAGATCGGCTAGGATTGCGTGTAAAGATTTCCGAATATTGCCAAGTTCGCACTTTGCCGACCGTCGCTTTGTGTAAATGGTTGATCATCGCGTGTGATGACGATTCAGATCCTTAGCACAGAACGCATAATTCGCTCCGCGCTGGATCCTTCACGACGACGAAGACGATGACGACGAGGGCGGCGGCGGCGGTGGCGGCGGCTGTGGCGGCGACGGCTACGGCGACGGCTGCGGCGTCGGCGTCGACGACGACGACGGCGGCGGCGGCGGCGGCGGCGGCGGTGGCGGCGGCGGTGGCGGCGGCGGCGGCGGCGGCGGCGACGGCGACGGCGACGGCGTCGACGGCGACGCCGGCGACGACGGTGACGACGACGACGACGACGACGACGACAACGACGAGGCGACGACGGCGGCGGCGGCGACGACGACGACGATGAGAGCCGCCTCCGAAGGACTCTAGAGGTCTCTGGAGGTCGCATGAGGCCTCAGGAGGTCCCTTCGGGAATGTTCTGACCCGGGTCACTCCAGACCCGGGTCAGCCAGACCTTGCAGAATCCTGCAAGATCCTGCAGGATCCCGCAGCCAAGCCCGGGTCAACGCGAAGGACCCTGCAAAATCCTGCAGGATCCTGCGCCCAATCCCGGGTCAATGGCAGCCTGGCCCTGTAAGATCCTGCAAGACCTGGCGCTCTGGCTGACCCCCGTTTGCACTGAACCCCCGTCTCAAGTTTGGACGCCCGAAATGGGTACCGAAAAAATTGGTACTATGCCCAACAGCAAATGTTGTCCCAAACCAACAGCGGCCGCTGTTGGGCGGGCGGCCTCCTGTCTCGAATGGACACAGGGCGCGGCGGCGTGGACTGCGAGTCCTGTTTCAAAATGAACAAGATCCGCTGTTGGGCATTGTACCCATTCCTTCGGTGCCCATGTCGGGCGTCCAGATCAAGGCTCCCGATCCCTGGAGACGCCTGGAGGCCCGGCCCTCCTATGCCTGTCGACACCACGCCATGCCCACGAGCACGGCGCCGTGTCGCCGGAGGCCTTAAAGAGGTCTCAGGCGTGTGGAGGCCCGGCCCCGTTGCCGATGCATGCCAGCACCGCGCCATGCCCGTTTCGGGGCGGGGCACCCCTCCCCCGTACGCTCATTACCGTTACCAGGGGGGGGGGGGGGGCGCCTCCCCGTAACGGACGTTACTGGTTCAATGGATACAGCCCCCCCACACCCGCATGCAAATCCCCGAATCTAACCTGACCCAGCCCCTGTCGACACTGCGCCAAAGCTAACCTGACTCACTGAAGCTAACGTGACCCACGGCTCGGCGGCACCAATGTGTCACGCGCGCGCTGTAGCAAGCAAGGCCAGTATACAGGTCAAGGGTAACGACCTCACATAAAGTCAAAGCGCGAAAAAAGGCGGAAACCAGAGGCGAGCCCTTCACAGCACAGGGTCGAGAAAAATCCAACTAGTACACACGCACACACATGCACCAGGCAAAGCAACCACTCTTCTGGGCTGCGATTTCTCGCGCCCCCGCGCCCCAGCGGTGCTAAAGCTTGCGTGAGCCCCCCCCCTCGAACACATGTGCGCACATAACCACGGTCTCCGCCCTCACTTTCAAGCATTCGCATACTGGCTGCGCGCGTGCTGACATTGAGAATACACCGCTGCCGGTCAACCAACAAAACAAAACCAGCTGGCTCAGCTAGCCACCAGTCGGCCGCGGGACGGCGTCCAGGGCGACTTCCCACTGGTGGCCCGTCTCGCACGCGCTGATCGCAGCGCAGCAGGCGACAGCGTCCAGCTCCACGGCGGCCTGCAGTAGCGCAACTGTCGGAGAAAAAAGAGGCACGTCTTCCGAACTATGACAGACGGTGCGCCGCTTGCGCAGAAAAAGGATCAGGAAAACACCGAATGGACGTCGACACCGCCAGACGCATCCGGGGACCAGAGCCTCTCCTGGGGAAGTGGGAGGTCCCTGGGAGTTAGCAATTACGGGCAAGAGTGGCAGAATGACAGGGCCCCAGGGCTGCCTTGCAAGGCGTGCAGGCTGCTCGAGGCCCGGTGTACAGCCCGCTGCCAGGACACGCAGGCTTGTTTTGGAAGCAGGCTGCACGCTGCAAGCGCCAATGCTTTTGCACGACAGCGTGGCTGGATCGCGGGACGGGTCGTCGGCGGGTCGCGAACGTGTTGAGCCAATGTAGAAATCGGCGGCGGACCCGGGGAGGAAGTGAGGAGAAGGCTTCTCAGAAGGCTCGGCAGTCCCACGGACCTCTGAGACGTTTTCTTAGCCTTCTCAGAAGACGCAGGAAACCTCTCAAACGGCTCAAGGGCTTCTGAGACGCCCCGCCGCCTCCTGAGAAAGCATCCTCGTTCCCACTTCCCCCCTCGATCGCGGCCGAAAAGACGCCCGACGCCATTACAGTTTTTGTTGACAGCCAACCCGCCGCAGGTGGCATTTCCCGCGGAACGCAGTAGGTGGGTCGCGGGCGTTGGTCGCGGATGGGTCGCGAATGGATCGTGGATGGGCCGCGGGTGGAATGCAAATGGGTCGCGTGCGGGTCGCGGGTCGATCGCGGGCTGGGTCGCTGGGTGGGCGCGGTGTGGGTCGCCGATGCGGCGCAGATGGGTTGCGGGGCGGGCGGCGACGGGAAAATAGAAAGAACAAGAGAAATCTGCCACCCGGCCCCCCTGGCACGTTGGGGCGTGCTCGAATGCCAGGTGCTGTCTGGTAGGGTGTCTGTAATTTTCGAGGGGCACGCCCCCACTCCCGTACGCACCCGTTCGCATGCGCCGCCCTCTCTGCTGGAGGCTACACTTCCCCGAAACATGTGACATAGAACCAGCCCGTATCATAAGGATGCGCGCTGAGGATGCAAGGGCCTTGGACGCCATGTAGAAGCTTGTCGAGCGCGGCGCGGCGAACGAAAGTGGCCAAGGATTGACCGAAGAGGCAAGGATGCAAGGGTACCCTTGGGAATGCTGACCATCTGGGTTGACTGTACTCGCGCTGCCGAGGTCCAAATGCCTCTCGGGGGGAAGCAGCTCACGTAGCTGATTTTCCCGGCGCCTCCTGGCGCCGGGAGGCGCCCATGTATCGAGGAATGGGGCCGGCGGCGGGGCCGAGACCAGCTGCATGCAGCAGATTTCATGACCCCCCCTTTCCCTATCCCCCCCTTTCGTTCGGCCCGAGCCTCCATGCCGGCACAATAAGGTTCCAGGGCGGGCCCAAAATGGTTTCAAAATGGCCCACGAGACCTTCGAGGCGCCGCGAAATCGCCCAAAGAGCCTTCCCAAGAGGGCCCGGGAGGATCAGTGCGATCCCTTAGGTTTTCAATGTTTTCGGGTTTCCTTTCGAGCTTGCGACGCCCCAAGACAACCCAAGAGTTCCCTAAGACCGCCCCCGAACGGCCCAAAAGGCCTCCGAAAGGGCCCCAAGACGGTCCAAAATGACTCCCAGACTGCCCAAGAGGCTCCCGGCTCCCAGCCATGCCCAAGAGGGGCCCAAGACCACCCAAGAGGCGCCAAAACGACCCCAAGAAGGGCCCAAGAGGTGGAACATGAACCGACGATTCGAGCCTTCACCCTCAAGAGGGCAGGACCCCCCAGGATGGCCAAAAGAGGCCCCCAGGACGTCCCCGCGAGGCAAACATGCCATGCAATGTTTAAGTGGTTGTTGGGTCCTCGCCGTTTCGAACCTCCGACGTTCCAAGACAGCCCAAAGGCCCCCCCAATACTGCCCAAGAGGCCCCCCAAAAGGTCCCCAACACGGCCCAAAGGGCGCCCAAGACGGCCCAACAAGCACCACAATGGCTCCAGAAAGGGCCCACGAGCGGCAACACGAACCGACAATTCGAGCGCTCCGCCCACAAAGTGCTCCGGAGGCCCCCGGATGACCTGAAGGGCCCCCCCGAGGGGGCCCCGAGAGGCAAACGCCACTGATGCCGCTGAAGTTTTTCACTGTTTCGGGGACGATCGCGCTTTCGAGCTTCCGACGCTCCAAGACAATCCAAGGAAGCCCCCAGTCTTGCCCCGAAACGAAGCACGAGACCCCCAAGACGTGGCCAAAACGGACCGAGAAGGCCCCATAACAACCCCGAGAAAAGGCCCAAGAAAGCGACCGCGAACAAACAAGCCGAGCCTCCCGCCACAAAGAGGCACCAAGGAGGCCCCAGGAGGGCAAAGCGAGGCGCCCAACAGGGCCCCGACAGCGAAATCCCTGTGACCTGTGACGGACCCGACCCATCTGCTAAAGTGACCAGATTACTAGCCCACATTGTCATGGGTGGAAACACTGACAAACGAACCGTCATTCGTTATACAAGGTACATGGGATGCGCGCGCTGCACGGTTCACAGGACAACAACGAAAGGATGGGTCGGACCGATGGACAGGAACAGGAGACGCGAGGGGGAGGGGGTCAGCGCGGCGGCAGCAGCAGGCAGACGGTGGAAGGAGGAAGGGGGCGACAGCGAAATATGCAAAACGAGGCGACATGCGCGGCCGCGCCATGTCGCTCTGGCACGCCAGAGGAACAACTGTTCATAGCTAGCGCGGGAAACTTATAAAGCCTAGCTCGCCTGCCGGTTTCTCCACCTCCCTCCTGACCTTTTGAACGCAGGATCTAAGCGCCGGCAGGCGCACTGCCAGGTCTGCGAGCGGTCCGCCGGGAAGGCAAGTATCAGGAGAGATTAACGCCGGGGTTGCGTATCATCAGCAGGTTCTCCACTGTCGTCGTCGGCCAATGGACGTCCGAGTCCTCCGCGTCTTTGCACCCGGCATCGACAATGACTCAGAAATACATGGCCCAGCCCCGGCAAACCGTGGACGTCAGGCCTTCGGAGTGGGAGGTGGCCAAGCCAGCGCGCGCGACCCAATGGTGCGGAAGTCGAACGGGCTCGAAGTCCGCAGCCCGATGAAAGCGAGGCCCGCGTACCCAAGCAGCGGCGAGGCTTCATCTGATCGGAATAAAACGTCATTCTGCCCGACACTCCTGCCAGCCCAAGGACATTTCGACAGTTTCGCAGTTCGCACCCCCAACGACACTGAGGCTTCCATCTGATCTGAATAAGACGTCGCTCCGCTCGACCACCCAGCAGCCCTCGAATATGGAGACAGTTTGGCAGTTCGCAGCCCCCAATGACGGCGAGGTCTCATATGATCTCAACAAGGTGTCATCTCATTCCACGGCACCCTCAACAGGCCTCGAAAGTGGCGACATCCTCTTACGTCGCAGCCCCCCAGCGACGACGAGGTCTTATCTGATCTGGATAAGACGTCACTCCGCTGGACCCCCAGCAACCCTCGAAAATGGCGCCGCTTCGCAATCCGCACCCCCCCAGCGACGGAGAGGTCTCGTCTGAGTTGAATAAATCGCTCCGCTGTGCCCCCCAGCGGCTCTCGAAAAGGGCGACTGTTGGGTTGCTTGCAGCCCTCAACGACGGCGAGACCACATCTGATCTGAATACAACGTCTCCGCTAGACCCCCAAACATCTACCGAAAGTGGCGGCAAATTTGCAATTCGCAGCCCCCACCGAGAACCCCAGGGGCAATTCACGGGTGCAATGGTTGCAGCAATGGGTTTCTGCTGAGCATCTGGTTATTGGCAACACATGCTTCCTCAAGCCATTAAGCGGGCGAGCAACGCACACGGGATCTAAACGACAGCAAAGGCAGATTGACTTCAGTACTGTTGATAGATCGTCGTGGAAATGTGAGCGGGATTGCTGTTCAGTTCCAGATATCGGCATGAAGTCGGATCACACGGCTGTGAAGATCGTGTTCAATATCACTTGGAATTCGGCGGAACACTCCGGCGGAGAACAGCCTTCTTCTGGATTGCGCAACTGCCTGGTTGATTGGAAAACAATTGACAAGCATAACTTTCAAGACTCGCTGGAACGTGCATTGCCTGGTCATGGTGCGGAACATGGGGTGGCCGCTCAGGCTGGCCCGGCTGGAGACCATCAAGTCTACCCCGACCACAAAGTATGACAACAAGGAGCTGACATACCTCCGCGCACCGATCTCCAAGCAAGAATATCCAGACAATGATCAAGAAACAAAAGAAATTGAAGGCCACCGAGCGCATCACGTCCATCTTGAACACGTTCACTGGCCTCGACAAGGCACCGAAGTTGAGATCTCCTGTAAACAAGCGGCTGTCCCCAAGCAAGGTGTGACTTCGCGTGTGGAGATGGCTAATGCATCTGCGTCTTTCTACGGGACTTGTATGCTAGCAAGTGCACTGTAGAGCTGGCGCCGGAGCTGGAAGCAAACACGTCGTTATCAGAGGTTGAAGATTTCACGAACGCTGAGTTCAAGGAGGGCATGAAAGAATTGAATACCAATCGATGTCCTGACACCCAGGGCATAATTAGAGAGATGCTCTTTCATGGTGGGGGCGTTCTTCTGGAGTCGTTGGCCAAATTATGTAATGATGTTTGTAAAATTGATGCCGAACCTCCAAATTCATGGAAACTGGCGGTGATTGCGGTAATCTTGGAATCCGGGGACGAGCGCCTTCCGAAAAACTACCGGCCGATAACAACCGTACCAATATGATACAAATTGTTCTCACGTCTTTTATTCAGACGGCTTGTCAAATTTCTGGAGACTCAACACAGCGTTGATCTAGCTGGCTTCCGACGCGGCTTCTCCACAGAGGACCACTTGTATGTTGCAGAGCAGATCAAGGAAAAAACAGGAGAATACCAGATCCCCATATGGTTCGCAGCCACGGACTTCCAGAAGGCTTTCGATTCGGTTGAACGCCAAGGAGTTTGGAATGCTCTCGCCAAAGGGGTACCGATGGTCAATACTTGTTGCTTGCAGAAGTTGTACACTGGGCAATCATCATACGTCCGCATGGATGTCGAGAGCAAACAATTCGGCATTGCGCGTTGCGCAAAACAGAGAAACCCTCTTAAATCTATACTCTTCAATGCCTTGCCAGAAGACTTGATGCGCACCGTGAAGCCGGAACGGGAGAGGGAGGCTATAGACTGCAATTGGGTCACACATCGGTCTCTCTATTGACAAGTCTTCGTTTCGCGGACGACGTGCTGTTGATCGAAGGCACGCTGGTACAGACAGCTTAAAAGGATGTTAAGTGATTTGCGGCGTGCGGCTGCAGGCGTCGGTCTTCTCCTTCACCCCGACAAGACCAAGATCCTCACTAACGCCACAGTGGGAACTGGCCGTGGCCGTAACAAAATCGCTGTTGTGGAGGATCTCGACATTGAGATCGTGGATGTTGTTGAGTATGTCATGTATTTGGGGCTGTTGTGAGCGTTTAACGAGCCGACAGAGACTGACGGTGAGCATCGATTCCTGCAAGCTTGGAAGTCAATTTATGGTGCACCAGGGTAAGTTGTTGAACAAACAATATTCATTGAAACATTGATTGCGACTGTTCGAAAGCGTCGTCACGTCCACGCTCCTTCACGGTTCCTCCAGCTGGGTGCTGACGAAGACGATGGAGAACAAAGCGAAACGGACCCAGAAGAAGATGTTGAGAATGACACTTGGGGCTGGCCAGAGGCGCTGGCAAATGGACGCAGGAAGTACATCGTGCTCTTCATCGGTATCATCGACATCCGCATCGCCCGCTTCGGTTTAGTCACCGCCTGTCATGGGGGATCAATGCAATTTCTCAGAGAATGTCGAGAACGAACATCTCGAACCGTGGGTGGACTGGATAAAGCGAATCACACATTACATGGACGATCTAATTCTCCAGCTGGGTCTCAACGACTGGTGTTCTGCGTGGCGCTGCAGAACCTGGAAACTCGCAACTGCCCTAGACCGCTGAGCTTGCAGAGCAGCGAAGTGGAATCCTGAAGACCACACGCGCTGGAGGAGCAGGCGACCGAACCGTCGTAAGAGGAGATGGTGCGACGAAATGTGTGATTTTCTGCGTTCTCGCGGAATAGCGGCCACGCCGTTGAACTGGTATGAATATGCTCGTTACACCACGGCTTGGCGAACATAGGAATATGAGTTTTGCAGGGTGCACTAACGCAAGGCCACGGTGCTTGTCCACCCCTCACCGTAATGGGACAAACTCGCCTGATGCGGCGGTCCGTGCGTCCGTCCGTCACCGCGAACCCCAGCCAGGCAGGCCGGCAGACTGAAGGTAGGAGACAGGCAGGCTGTAAAAACACATTGATGACCGTAGGTTGTTCAATGCTGTTGGGGTTCCTGTCCTTTCGAGCTTGCGACGCTGCAGGACGGGCAGCGAGGCCTCAAGGCGGCCCAAGAGAGCTCCACGACAGCCCAACTGGCGCCAAAAAAGGCTCGAGAAGCCCAAAGACGGGTCCAAAGCGAGCACCACAGGGAAACACGAACCGAGAAGACGAGCTTTCCGCCCCAAGAGGTCTCCATGAGGCCCCAAGACACCCAGCAGATGCGCAGCCCCCGAGAGGCCCCCAAAAAAGGAGGCACCAAGACTGCCCAAGTGAGGTCCATAAGGGCTCTTACAAAATGTGTCACATGTGACGGCGATCCTCCTTCTCCTCCTCCTACTCCTCCTCCTGCTCCTCCTCCTCCTCCTCCTCCTCCTCCTCCCCATCCTCATCCTCATCCTCGTCATACTCCTGCGCTTCGACTTCCTCCACCTCCTCCATCTCATGATCACCACCATCATCGTCATCGCCACCGTCACCATCAACATCGTAACCATCGTCACAATCATGATCCTGATCATCATGATCACCATCATCATTAGTTAATGGTATCGTCGTTTTCAGATACAACAACACCATCAGAAGCAGCACCAGCTTCAACATATCATCACCACTGTCACCATCATCAATAACATCATAGTCATCCGTATTATTAGTATCCTCCTCCTCGTCGTCATCATCAGCATCCTCCTCATCAACATCAACATCATCATCATTGACAACACCAGCCCATCACTGGCCTTGTCACTGCCCTCGTCCACACCAACGCCACCACTGTCATGAACACCATTATCCTCATCAGTGTCATCATCATCGTCATGATCGCCACCATCGCCCCTGACGGGCTCGAAGACTTCGAGCGCGCACCGAAACTCCAATACAGCCAAGCTGCCGCACGCGCCGGCGTCGAGCACCCTGCGCCAACATCCCCCAAGACAGCCCTACGAAAAGCGCGCCACGTGCTGCGGCTCCCCGAAAACCAAAGATACAACGTGTCGCACATGAGGACCTCCGTGCTCCCTCTCGCACAAATTCGCTGAGCACCCCGCTCACCCGTAGCTGGGTTGCGACTGCAACCGCAGCGTTGGGTGTGCGCCGAAGCCTGCGCCGCGCCGAGAGGGCGCGGGCGCCACGAGGCCTCGGTGCTGGTCGCAGCACGACCCAATGCAACGGTTCCCTCTCGCACAGACCTCCGATACCGCCATTTCCCAAACCTCTCAGAGAGCGCGCCCTGACCGAGATCTCGCGAGGCGAGGCCGGCCGTGGCGGCGAGGGACAGGCAGCGGTGGCGGGTACCTCCTCCTCCTCTGTGAAGGGGCCCCAGGACACACAAATAAATACACACAAATGAAAAGGTTCCCCATATTTTCCTATATTTTCTGGGTTTTTGTCTTCCCCCCCACTTCCCATATCTTCCCATATTTTCTGGGGGATCGCCGATTAATTGTGTCTGTGTGTTTCTTTCCCTCCTGACTCTGGTCCTCGTTCCTAGCCCTCGTCTCTCCTCCCGCCACTCCTGATGCGCCCGCCAGCCCGCCCGCCACTTCCCGGAGGATGCTAACTGTACGCCTGCACCGACACTTGCGCCTTCGGGATGCCCGCGCTCACGGAACCTTACAGAAGGAGTCTTCGTGGCGGGGTGGCGGCGGCACGAAGAGAGGAAACAATGACTGCGCGAACATCAGTGCTTGGAGCTCCGTGCGAATCCCTGGAATTTGCGGAGGGACCCCCTAAGTTTACGATTCTAATTGTTTGGCCACGTTCGATTCGAGGCTTCTCACAGCGGAGCGGCGGTGTCCCGAAGGAGCCTCTGAGGCGCGGCCGGCGATGGTCCCCGCGCACGATCTGGCACCCCCGAGGCCGTCCGACGGCTCCCTGGCAGACCTCCGACAAGCTTTCGAACGATGCTGCGCCCACCGAGATCCCTGCGCCTCCCAGGTCCCTGCGCTCCAACGGCCTCCGCGGGACTCCTCGCGGCGGGGAGGCGGGGGCGCGAGGCAGGGCGACGAAGCCTGCACATGTCTACTGCCCAAGGCCTGGCACACCCTGTGGCCAGGAGCGGCGTGGAGGAGGAGGAGGAGGAGGAGGAGGAGGAGGAGGAGGAGGAGGAGGAGGAGGAGGAGGAGGAGGAGGGGAGGAGGAGGAGAGAGGAGGAGGAGGGAGGAGGAGGAGGAGGGGAGGAGGGGGGGAGGAGGGAGGAGGAGGGGGGGAGGAAGGGAGGGAGGGGAGTAGGAGGGAGGAGGGAGGAGGAGAGGGAGGAGGAGGGGAGGAGGAGGAGGAGGAGAGGAGGAGGGGGGAGGAGGAGGAGGAGGAGGAGGAGGAGGGAGGAGGGAGGAGGGAGGAGGAGGAGGAGGAACCCGCCTCCCTGGCCACGCCAGGAGGGCGTGCCCACCGCTGCTGGGCCCACGGTGGGCCAGGCCCATGGGACAGGTGCTCTGCACTCGGCTAGGCGTAAGAGTGACCCTCGGTAAGAGTGACCTGTGGTGCGCAGCTTTTGGGGGGCGCGAGGGAGCCAAACCCAAGGGCGCGGTCCACTTACATCGCATCGCGCTCGGCGGTCGGGGGGAGCCCGATGAGCTCGCACCAAAGGTCACTCGGCTATACGCAAGAGTGACCCTGGGTAAGAGTGACCTTTGGTGCGCGACTTGTGGGGGGCCGCGGGGGGACCAAACCTGAGCGCGCAAGTAGCTGCAGCTGCTTCGTGTTCAGCCATCTGGGGACCCATCTGTCTGTGCCCGCACCAAAAATCACCCCGGCGAAAGGTCACTCTTACTCGGGGATGGACAGACCCCCCTTTAGCAAAACGTGGTTTAGTGAAACCGACCTGAGGCCCAAACCAAGCGGGCGCAAGCCTGGAAAATAACGGCCACGGCGCCATTTCGAGAACCGAAAACGGACAAATCAGTAATCGACGTGTCACTGTTGGGGGTTCTGTCCACCCCCGACTTACGTCTAGTCGATGCACAAAACCTCGTCGCCAAACGAGGGCGGGCCCGGCCCCGCAGAAGCTGCGGCCTCGCGGGCCTCGCCCAAGAGGCGCAGCGCCGCGGGCCAGCACGGGCCTGCCCGCGCGCGGGGCGCGCTGCCCACGAGGGAGGGGGCGATGAGGGCAGGAGCAGAGGGAGGAGCGGGAGCGGCACACTGCCAAGGACGATGGTGCGGGTGCTGAGGCTGATGCTGTTGGTGCGGATGGCGATGGTGGCGCTACTGATGATGATGCTGGGTATGCTGCTGATGATGACGCTGATGCTGGTGCTGCGGCTGCTGAAGATGATGGTGGTGATGATGGTGATGATAGTGGTAATAACCCTGACCAGGCATTAAGAACCCCCCTAGGTTATTCTTAGCACCCGGTTTTTCCCATACTCCAGGCGGGCAGTTTTCGCAGAACGATAAACTTAGCACCCGCCGCAAACAGAAAACAAAATCCATCGGTGGCCGCCCCAATAAGGCCAAGATGGGGTGTTGCAACGAATGTCAAGGATCTAGCCCCGACCTCTGTGGACCTCTATCCCTGGTAGGTCCTGCTAAGCCCCGCCTAGCCCTGCTGAGCCCTGCGGGCCGACGGGCCTTGCTAAGCCCTGCTAAGCTCTGCTAGGGCGAAGCCCTGCCAAGCCCTTTAAGCCCCGCTACGCCCTGCGCAGGGCCCTGCTAAGCCCTGCTAGTTAAGCCCTGCTAGGCAGGCCCTGCTCAGCACTGCTCAGCGCTGCTACGATATGCTATGGCCTGCGGGGCGTGGTCCGAGCTGGGTTCGAGGCAAATCCCTGCAAAGTCCTGCTAAGCCCTGGCCCGAGCGCGGTCCGAGGCTAAGCCCTGCTAAGCCCTGCTAGCCCCTGCTAAGCACTGCTAAGCCCTGCTAAGCCCCGCTAGGTCGTGCTAAACTTTGCTAACCCCTGCTAAGCCCTGCTGAGCCGTGCTAAGCCCTGTCAAGCCCTGCTCAGCCCTGATTGGCCGAGCTAGGCCCTGCTAAGCTCTGCTAGGCCCTGCTAAGCCGTGCGAGGCATGGGCCGGAGCGCGGTCCGAGGTTGAGCACCGCTAAGCCCTGCTAAGCCTTGCCAGGCCCTGCTAAGCCTTGCTAAGCCATGCCAAATAAGCGCTGCTGTGCCCTGCTAAGTCTCGCCAAGCCCTGCTAGGCCCTGCGAAGCCCTGCTAAGCCCTGCTGGGCCCTGCACGGCCCTGCCAAGCCCTGCTTAGCTCTGGGAAGCCCTGCGAAGCCCTGCTAAGCCATGCTAAATCCTGCTAGTCCCTGCTAAACCCTGCTACGGCCTGTGCAGGGCCCTGCCAAGCCGTGCTAGTTAAGCCCTGCTAGGCAGGCAACGCTCAGCCATGCTACGCCCTGCGATGGCCTGCCAAGAGTGGTCCGAGCGTGCGTGGTCCGAGGCGAAGCCCTGCTAAGCCCTGCTGAGCACGAGTAGCACAGTACGAATGATAAGCCAAGCAAGAGTGATCATACAAATAATAGTCATACGACTGAATAGTACCACAATGCCAATCCAGATCACGAGTTTCGAATGTATGTTTCTGAACAAACTGAGTCTGAATGTGAGTGAGTCTGAGCAGAAGGATTCAGTCACAACCCAGGCACTGCTCCAGTCTCCGACCCACAACCAAAGCACTGCTCCATTGTCTGACGCACAACCCGGGCACTTCTCAAGTCCCTGACCCACAACTCAGGCAGAACTCTGCTTTTCCTGTGTTTCCGTTTTGTTTCCTAGCTCTTCCTCCTCCTCCTCCTGCTCCTTCTCTTCCTATGCGATTCCTTTTACACCCCCCGTAAAGAAGTAGACTTTCGTCGGCCTTCCAAGGGGGGAGCCCGCCCCAGGGTATCCCCCCGCCCCGCACCCCCGCGTTATCTTAGCACCCGCGGGCCCAGAAATACGAGAGCCCGAGGAGCGGGCACGCAAGGATTCTCAGTGTGAGTGAGTCTGGACAGTCTGAGCCTGCTGAGCCTTGCTAAGCACTGCTAAGCCCTGCTAGGCGTGGTGAGAGCGCGGTCCGAATACGAATCGGTTAATAAGAATACGATTCACAGGTAGGATAAAAGTACAATGCTAATACTATCAACAATGTAGTGTAATATTGATGGGTAGTAAGAATAATAGTGATGGTATCAATAAGAACATGTAGCAATAACAATACGAATAATAATAACAATGATAATAATAATACGTAATAGTAATACTGATAATAATACGAATAATAATACTAATAATAATACTAATAATTTAAGTAGGGCGTGGAGCTTTAAGACTGTGCCCCCCTGTTCGGGGCTTCGCTGCTGAAACCAAACGGCGAAACAGCGATGCGCCGACTAGGCGCCGACTAACGGCGTTTCCAAACAGCGATCGTAGCGTTTCTAAACAGCTAACATGTCGTCTGCAGCGTTTCCAAACAGCGACGATAGCGTTTCTAAACAGCCTTCACGGCGTTTCTAAACAGCCAAACTCTGCTACTTCCGCGTTTCCAAACAGCGGGTACGGCGTCTCCAAACAGCGATTGTGGAGTCTACAGCGTTTCTAAGCAGCGACTATAGCGTTTTAAAACAGATCGTATGGATTTCCAAATAGCTAGCTCAGATAACGCAGCGTTTCCAAACAGCGGCCATCGCGTTTCTAAACGGCTATCATGGCGTTTCTAAACAGCTACTTCAGCTACTCTCGCATTTCCAAATAGCGATGATAGCGTGTTTAAACAGCCAGTACGTAGTTTGCTGCGTTTCCAAACAGTGACGGTAGCGTTTCTAAACAGGTAGCATGGCGTTTCTAAACAGCGAACTCAACCACCACAGCGTTTCCAAACAGCGGTTTTAGCGTAAACTGCGGCTGCAATTTAAACAGCTAGCGCGGCTGTCCTAAGCAGCGAACTCTGTGTTTCCAAACAGAGGCTCTATCCTGTCTAAACCAGTTTTCTGGAGTTTGCTGGCAGCTAGCAGCTAACTCCTGCTATTTTTTAGTATGTGTCCGAACAGCGGTTCTAGCGGTTCAAAACAGCTCCAGTGGAGTTTCTAAGCAGCTAACTAAGTTATTACACCGTTGCTACAGCAACTACAGCGTTCCCAAACACACCCATATCCGCAGTTATGATGGGGTTTCTTTGCAGCCTAACAGTGACCACAGCGTTTCCACACACACACACACACACAAGTTCCGCAGCTCTGGCTGCGTGTCTACACAGCTGACGCAGTTTCGATCGGAGCCTGAGCTAGCAAGCTACCAGCTACCACAGCGTTTCCAAGCACAGTGTCCTCAGCTATTCCTAAACAGCTAATACAACTCCGAGGGAGCCACTTCGGCACTTCTCCGACCGAGGACGAGGAACGAAGAGGAGGAGAGGAGGAGGGAGAGGGAGGGTAGAGGAGAGTCGAGGAGGAGGAGGAGGAGGAGGAGGAGAAGGAGGAGCCAGGAGGAGGAGGAGGAGGAGGAGGAGGAGGAGGAGTCAGGAGGAGGAGGAGGAGGAGGAGGAGGAGGACCTCCAGGAGGAGGAGGAGGAGGAGAGAAGGAGGAGGACAGGAGAGGAGGAGGAGATGAGGAGGGGGGAGAGGAGCGGGCGGCGCACCGCACGATGGGGCCTATTGGAGGAGGAGAGGTGGAGAAGGACGGCAGGAGGAGAGCGGCGCTGGGGATCCCAACCTTCCCTGTGTCGTCACAGCTCACCCGGCCGCCAGCCCGCCGGCCCGCCAGCCCGCCAGCCCGCCGGCCGGGCCGGTCCGCAGAGGCGCCGAGGGATGGTGAGCCACCAGCAGGGGAGGACGTTTGACCTGACCTCCCCTCGCCTCCTCCTCCTCATCTTCTCCAGATCTGGAGGATTAAGAGGCGAAAGAGGAGGTCAGGTTCGGCCCAACGCCACCCCGCCAGCGGCTGACGATCCAAGGGCCAGGGAGGATGGGGGCAGGGCGTGTTGAGACAACGGAGGCAGCTCAAAACTCAAACTCTCGAAATTGGTCCTTGGGCCGCCCCCAGTGGCCAGATGCACAGATGTCCCGGAGCTGAGTCCTGCCCTGGCGACGATGACCCCCACCCACAAAAACTGAATGCCAACTGCCGATGTCTCAACTCCCCCCCCCGCCGCGCCAAAGAGGAGCGCAATGCGAAAGGCGACAGAGGACAAACAGGACTGAGAGGACAGAAACGGGAGTCCAGGGAGGGAACGGGCACCCAAGGAAGGGGAGGATGGGCCGAAGGGAGGCGCTCTCCTTCAATTTTTCCATTCTAAGAACGAGCGATCTTCTGTGTGGATCCTGCGGCCTGCTGCTGCCCTTCTTCTCCTCCTCCTCCTCCTGGACTCCTGCTCCTCCTCCTCCTCCTCCTCCTCCCTCCTCCTCCTGCTCCACTTCCTCCTCCTCCTCCTCCTTAGCCTCGTCCTCCTCCTCCGCCTCCTCCTCCTTCTCCTCCTCCTTATTCCGATTCCTCTTATACATCTTTCCTTTACAGCTTCACGGGGCGCCTCGCCACGTGTACCTCCGTACAAGAGGCAGGTGCGGGAATGGGGTCAGGAACGAACCCACCCAGTTGGATGGCGCCCCAACGCAGGCCAGGGGCAGGCAAGGCGTGTGGGCTCTGCATGCTCGGACCCCCTCCTCCCTCCCTCTTCGCTCGTCCTCCCATCCCCTGTCCCTCATCCCACATCCCTCATCCCTCATCCATCGCCCCTCCCACCTCCACCCTCCGCATTTCCATCACCTCCTCCACTCTCATCCAGTCTCGCTACTCTTCCATATGTATTCCATCTTCGATGTTCCCATTCGTTCTTCATCTTACATTATCCCCCCACTCCTTGCCCTTCCATTCCCTTCTCCACCCTCCCCCTCCTCATCCGTCCCATCCCCCATCTCTTATCTTATCCCTTATGGCCCGTCTGCAGAGTGAAATGGCCCATGAGTTGCCACGAAACCGGGCCCGCCAGACCTGCCCCGAAATTCTGAAACTGAAACACCTAAATCATAAATCTAAATCTCAAGAGCTCGCAGGCGGGCCCTCCAAAATCACAGAGTCCGCGTCGCCGACGTCGACAGCCTCGCCGCTGTCGTCAGCCTCGCGGCTCTCGCCAATGCTCACATTGGTCGTCTTACCGCCCCTGCCACTCATGACACTGCCGCCCTCGCCACTGATGACACTGTTGCCGTCCTCGCAGCTGATGACGCTGTTGCCATCCGTCTTGGACTTCTTCTTGGCTGGCTCGCCCTCGTCGCCCTGCATCGCCATCAACTTAGCCATCAGCCTGGCCGGGATCTGGACCTTCAATGTTTTCGCGTCCATCTTGAGCTTGTCCACTCCGTCCGTCTGGCCATCCCGGATGCACATAGCAGCCCCGCGGCAGACCAGCATGAGCCGACCTTGGCTCCGAGTGGCCTGCCATCGATCCTTGAACTTCGCAAACGTGTCCTCCTCCTCCATGGACTGCGTGCGCTGGATGCCCATACCAGACAGGCAGGTCGACAGGAAGTCGAATGCCTGAACCCCCTTACTGGAATCATCGGAATGGTTCAGGCCCTTGATATCTTGGACGAGTTCCTGTCTGCCCGGCCAGTCCTCGAGCATCGTGATCTTGTCGTCAATATTTGCCAGGATATCTTTCAGGTCCAGTTCAGGGCCATGTTGCTTGATATTCAGAATGATACTCGTAAGGTGCTGGACACATGCGTCCATCTGGGATGCAATGGCATCGGTCATGAACTTGCGGAACTCATTGAACTTCGTGGCCAGATCTGACTTGGCAGTGGAACCGTTGAGCACCTTCACCATGTAAGCTGCAGAAGTCAACCACGTATCCAGGCGAGCGGCAGAGCCCTTCGCATCGCCCTTGAGCCAGGCCTCGTACTTGGTCTGGCAGGCGTAGATTGCGAAGACGGCAGGCACTGCTGAGGCGCTCTGCTCCAACGCCTCAGCCTGGTGGCGGTGGTGGGGCGGGGAAAGGGCGCTCCCTCTGCCCAGCTCCTAGCCTAGCGCCCAGACATCGACATCCCCCCCTCCCCCTGGCCCTGGGTAGCCAGTAGCCGGTTTCGCCGCCACCCGGCGCCAATGGGAGGAGGGTGTTGATGGCGACACGGACAAGTAGGAGATTCGAGGCAGGTGGGAGGAGGGGGAGGGGAAGAATAGGGAGAGGGAATGCTCCCCCCATTCACCCTCCTCCCCCAACCCACTGGCCACTGACCAGTGTCCCTGCCCGATGTCCCAGCTGTGTCCGAGGGGCCAGCTGGCCAGGGCTAGATTTCAGAGCATACCCTGGAGCGCCTTTTCCTGCCACTCGCTGTTCTCCTGGTCCAGCGTGGCCAGGGCAGAGCACGCCCCATACGGCACATCGATGTTGGTGGTCTCCTTTGACTGGTCCATCTTGGAGAGAGCCTGGCCCAGCTTGCAGGACAGGTTGAATTGACCGTCCTGGGGCCAGAAACTATACAACTATCAGGGGCGACCTGACCGACCCCTGGCAAACCATCCCCTTCCGCGACGTCCCCTCCCCTCGCCCCAAGACGCACGCGGCCAGAGGGAAATCCGGGAAAAAATGGCAAGGTGAGGATGATGTCACGGAAGGGGACGGTTTGCTAGGGGTCGGTTAGGCCCCGCCCGAAATTGGCCAGACAGGTTTCCGCCGATTGGCGGCCCAGCGAGCAGCCCATTTCGCGCCGTCGATGGGCCACCGATGCCCCGATCAGCGATCGATCGATTGGCGGAGGGCAGGGCCACCACGAATACAGGGCACAGAGCGGCCCAATGGCCCAACGCCCTATAGTCAGTCAGGGTCGAGGGGGCACTTTGGGTCAAGGGCCCCAAGACCATCCAGGTGCCCAGGTGGCAAGATAGCTCCCAAACCTCACCGCTCAATTTCAATGACTTTCACATGACAGATTTCAGATCACAAATCAGGCGCTTCAAAACAAAGCCCCATCGCCCCCATTTGCAAGCCAGCCCCAGTCCTCGTGCCAACAAGAGATCAGCTGCTCGACCTTGAAATTCTCGTTCCTCTCGATGCTCTCGCTCTGGCCGAAGCGCTCTTTCAGAATCAGAGCCAAAGAGGAAAGCTTATCATTGATGAGTTCGCTGAAAGCCTTCGTGGCATTCTGAATCTCAACGTCGGCCCCTGCCTGCAGCTCAGGCCCCGGCAGCGAGGCGTAGCGCAGCACCTCCGCACAGCCACCGGAAGCGTGGAACTCGGCCTTGACCTGCAGCAGCAGCTTGACCAACGAGACGACAGCGGAATCGCCCTGCTGCTCAATCCGGTTCTTCTCAGGCCTTGGCAAGGCCCCCAAGCATTGTTTCAGCGCTGTGATGAACGGGTTGATGTTCGCGATCTTCGCCTGGGCCTCGCTGTCCTCCTTGTCCTTGTGCCAGAGCTTCTCTGCGCTCCACTTGGACCACGCTTCATTGAAGTCAGTGAAGAGAGTGATCAGCCCTTCCCACTTCTTCACGGCCTGCGCAGACATTTGCTGGAAGTTGTCCAGGGGAGCCCGCGACACCAGTTCCTCGCCCTCGCCCTGCCCCACGCCCGCCTCCCTGAGCACAGTCATCGCCCAAGCGTGCACTCCTCAGGGGGCTGGACAAAAAAGCACCTCCTTCCCCGTTTTCCCTTCCCTTCCTCGTTCCCCCTTCCCCTCTCCTCCCTCCCTGCAACCCCCATCCCCAATCTCGACTCATCCCTCCCCCATCCCCCCTTTCCCCCGTATACCGTACGCCGTGTACCGTATACGTATACCGTTACGGTATACGGTATACGGTATACGGTATACGGTATACCGTATATTGTATACCATTGTTGTTGTCACAGCGCTCCATCTGCCATCACCTACCCCCCTCCTCTTTCTCCTCCCTCATCCTTCATTTCCCTCTCCTCCTTCCTCCGTCATTTTTTTTTTTTTTGTTTTCTCCTCTCTCTCTCTCTCTCTCTCTCTCTCTCTCTCTCTCTCTCTCTTCTTTCTCATGCCCCCTCATCCCCTCTTCCCTCATCCCTCTTTCCTCCGGTTTCCTCCCTCCTCCTGCTTCCCCCGGGTCCGTTCTTCAACATGTGGTGCAACGCGTGCGAGACCGCGTTCTGGGCGCTCTCCTTCAGCTCGTGCTTCACAGCCATCGAACTGTGGGCGTTGTGGATGATGCCCATGTTCACGCTGACCAGTTTAATGTTAACTGCAACCAGGCTCCAGTCATTGACCTCCCCCAAGTTGGCGGTGGCCTTCGCAACCTTGCTGGGGCGGCAATGCAGTGCGCGGCATTGGGATAGGGAAACGCGAACAGGAGACCAGAAGACCCAGCAGGGAGCCGAGAGCCCAGAGCGTTCGCTGCCCAAACAGTTGTTCGAATCATAGACAGACACGGGGACCAGGGGGAGGGGGGCGCGGATCCCTAGCACATCAGCACCTTAAACATTCAATCAAAAATGTGGAATGCGAATCGGCAAAGGGAAGGCCCAGGTTAAAGCGCATTCAGCAAAACGTAGAAGGGTAAGGCAACCTGGAGAATTCAGAAGGGTAAAAGTGGAAAGATATAAAAGGTAGAGGCTCTACGGTAGAGGGTCAAGGGTATTATTCTATAAGGTAGGTATGAGGCATCAGGGTATAATTTAATGTATAATCATTGCATAATAGTATAATGCATGATGTCCTATCATATGTAAGGTCTAAGGTGTAAACCAGGGTAAAGGGTACAAGGGCACTAAGTCTTCAGGAGGGGCAGAGACGATCATGGGTGGCCTTGCCATCCTAGGTTGACCGTCAACGGTTGACCCCAAATCACCTGCTTCTCCTGGATGTCGTCCTTGGCCATGGTCTCCATTGTGTTGATGGCGTTCTTCAGGGCGTTCTTGCCATAGAGGGAGTTCACAAAGACGCTGAGCATCGTCGCCTTCTTCTGCGGCCCTTTGGAACTGTTCTGAGTCGCTGCGGTGCCGGCCTTCAAAGCACGTCGCAAGCCGTCGAGGTGATGCCGAGGGGAGTTCAACAAGTTCAGCCCTACATGCATGATGGTCTTCGCGCACTCGTACTCGTCCATCAGATCCTTGGGGAAGCAACTCTGGACCTCCTCGCTCGTGAGTAACTCCTCCAGGGCGCTGTCCAAGCCCATCGTGCTCAGGCCAGGGGGGGCCTTGGCAGGGCACACTGTCTTGAAGATGTGCAGTGCGACCTCGCACTCGGACGTCGGGCTCAAACCCGCCTGGAAAGCTCGAGTCGCCTTCTGCACGAGTGTATCCCAGGAGCTCTGGGAGGCGACGTTGTCAATGATCTTGAGCTGCAAGAGCTTCCCCATCCAGTCCGGGAGCTGACCCTGCTTTACTTTAGCTGCTGAAGCTTCCATTTCTGCAAGGACAGTGGCTGTCTTGCCGAAGGCCCTCAAGCACGTCGTCGCGGTGTTCAGATCGTCTATGTAGCCTTGCATGCGGGTCTTCGTGTCACCATCGACTCGCGACTGGGGCTTCACAAACACTCCGAGAGAGCTGACGCACTGGCCTATCTCGCGGATGAGCATCTGAGCAGCACGGCCCCTGACCTCCACCCCATCAACGAAGCGCTTGTAGTGAGCCTCCGCCTCGGACTCCGCCTTCTGAATCTCTTCCTGGAGCATGGTCTTCTTGCCTGGGTCGCTGACTTTTGAGGCGGACGAAGGACCAGACGCCACAGATGGTGCTTTCCCTGCAGACCGGTGTCGGGGCTTGGCGTCTGGGCTCTGGTCACGGCCCCTTCTGCGATGATCTGGCTCTGGACCCGCGGCCGCGGGGGCCGCGGCGGCTGAGGAGGCCGAGGGTGCAGCTGCTGAGCTTGCTGCCTTGCCCTTGCTGTCCTTGCTGCGCTTCTCAGGGATCAGGGGCGGATCGTCGCCCTCCTTGTCGTCGTCCGAGTCGTCGGCCAAGTCGCTGTCGGAGCTGTCGTTGTCGCTACCACTGTTCTCGTCGCTGTCGGACCTCGACCCTTCAGAGTGGGCCCGGTCGCCATCAGGGCCAGCGGCAGCAGCTGAGGCCATCTCCGCGAGGCGCGCGCGCCTCTGGTGTTCCTCCAGCGACAGCGCGCCGCCCTCATCTGGGTGGGCCTCCTGCATCTCATCAACAGCAGCTTCGAACGCTTCGCCCACCTCCTCGCAGTCGAGCGCGTCCCCAGACTTGTGGATGCCCTTCTCCTTCTTGGTCTCGTCGCGGTACCTGGTCTCCACGTCGTAGATGCCGTCTTGGCCAACCTTCACATAGATCCCGTGGACAGTCTTCTTTCCAATTTTCCTCTTGACTATTTTGGCCTTGGTCCGCTTGGGGTCGCCAATCAGTTGTCTGTAGGTCTCCACCTCGTAGAACTGCCTTTTTGGGAGGATGACGTCCTGGATCTTCATCTCCGCGCTGGTCACGGTCTCAGGGTCCACAGTCACCCGACTTCTGCCACCCGCACGTTGATGGATGAGCTCCTTGACGTTCGCCTTGAACCTCGCCTTGACCTTCTTGTCCTTCCCGAGGTCGGCCTGCAGGGGGGGGGGGCGCGATGGGCAGCCTGGCGGGCAAGTGGCCCATTGCTTAGGAAACTACGAAAACCAGATCCCTGGCACATGAGGATCGCCCAAGAGACCGGAAAGACGGACAGATTTATGGCTCCAGATTTGTCGGCCAGCATTGGATGACTCAGGGTGGCCAGCGCGGTCTTGGCGAGGAAATGCCCAGGAGGGACCGAGGGGCCTGAAGCCTACACCCAGCATCATGAATCGATTCTTGTATTATTATATTGGGGGGCGAAGGGACATGGGTCAATGCAAAACAGGGTCAGCTAGAGCGCCGGATCTTCAGGATCCTGCAGGGCCAGGGGTGCATTTACCCAGGCTTGGGTGCAGCATCATGCAGGGTCCTGCAGGATCCTGCACGGACTGACTGATCCATGTCTGCATTGACCCAGGTCAGTAGATCCCCGATAAATGATAAATGTTATGTTTGGAACGCATGGCCTTCAAGAGCTTGAGCCCCTTTTTCTTGTTGCCCTCTGACTTGTACCTCTTCTTTTTCCCCATCCACTGCGTGCTAACGTTCAAGCAGATCCTGCACCACTCCCCAGACTTCTGAATATTACCGCCACGCCTCCGGGTGGTCTTGCCCCACGCGATGAGATTGGCACGGGTGCGCTCCAACGGGCCAGGGCCTTTGTGTTTCTTTTTCTTGACAGGGCATAGATCTTTATTCGTCTTCTTACAACCAACACAAGTGATCTCAGCGCTGGAGTCGCTATCACCTGCGTCCTCGACCGCCTTGGCCTCGCCAGAGTCCGAGCGCACGTCGCTGTCAGAGTCGCCGAGGTCGGCCAGATCTGCCATGCCCAGGCCAAGGTGCGAGAGACACAGGCCTGGAGTGATCGTCGTGGACCCCCTGCTGCTTAAAAGCAGCTGAGCTGCAAGCTCGATCACGACAGCCAAAACGGCAACAGACCCCCTCGTTCTCTTGTATTCTCGTCCCCATATCATAATTTATAATCCTCCCCCTCTCATCATGATCCTCTCCTCCTTTCCTCTTCCTTCCTCCTCCTCCCTCCTACCCCTCCTCCTTCTGTCATGTTCTCTCCTCTCCTTCTCCTCCTCCTCCTCCTCCTCCTCCTCCTCCTCCTCCTCCTTCCTTCTTTTTCTTCCTCCCCCCTTGCCGACCCTTTGCCAGCCAGCTGGCCCTTTATCGACCCCCTTGCACCTTGCCCCCTACTAAGGGACTGAGGGCCTCTTAGCCTTTACCCCTTCCCTTACTGTTACCCATTGCCCCTTGCCCGTACGGGCGATTCCCCCGAGCGCGTCGTCAAAACATGTTTGGATTTCGCATTTGATTATTGAGTCGCGTCGCTCATTCCGCTGGCCCGCGGGGGCCTCTTAGGGCCTCCAAGAGGCCTCTTGGGGGCCTCTTAGAGCCTCTTGGGGGCGTCTTGGGGGCCTCCTGAGGGCTCCTGGGGGCCTCTTGGGGCCTCTTAGGGGCCTCTTGGGGCTTCCTGGAGGCCTCTCAGGACCGAGGGCTCGAAATGTTGTTTCGTGCTCCCCCTCTGGGGCCGCTCTTGGGGCGCTCTAGGGGCCCTCTTGGGCCATCTTGGAGGCCTCTTGGGCCGTCTTGGGGCCCTCTTGGGCCGTCTTGGGGCCCTCTTCGGGGCCTCTTGGGCCCTCTTGGGGCGATCTTGGGGGCCTCTTGGGCCGTCTTGGGGCGTCGGGAAGCCGAAAAGGTGGCGACACCAAAATCGCTCCAAAACCTAAGGAAAAGCAGTGATTGTTGCATCTTGGGGCCCTCTTGAGAGTGCTCTTGGAGGCCTCTTGGGGCGTCTGGGGGCCATCTTGGGCGTCTTGGAGCGATCTTGTGGCATCTTCGAGCCCTCTTGTATCATCTTGGGGGCTCTTGACCCTTCTCGGGGCTCTCTGGAGGGTCTCGAGGGCGGCGCCCAGACGGAGAACCATCTCTGACCCCGACCCTGCCGGGGTTATTTTTCTTCCGGGGACCCCCAGGGGCCGCCCCCCGCGCGCGAAGTTTGAAATACTGTAAAGCAGACCGGAGATCTTAGCACGCCTCTGGCCCGTTGGGCCGGCGAATTTGGAACTCTCGCGCCAGATCCTGGGGTTTCCGGACGTGCTGGTGAGATCCACTGAGATCCCGAGGCTGAAGTAGCCCTCCAGAGGGCGGAAAGGCACCCCAGACCATGATGACAGGGGCAATGGCGACAGGGACGACAGGGGCGACGCCAGCAACTCCCCCAAGCGGCGACGTTGGCGCGGGGCATAGGGTCGCCCCTCAGACGTTTTGTCAAAAACACACTTGGATTTCGTCCCCAAGAACTGCCGCCAGATCCTCCTGGGCTCCTGGGGTTTCCCAGCGCGCCAGTGTCATCCGCGGGGGTCCCAAGGCCAATGGTCCAATGGGCAGCGACAATGAGGACGACCAGCAGCACCCAACCCCAGCGGCGCCGCTACCCCTCGCCCCTCGCTTGGATTTCGTTCCCTGGAATGCCCGGGTCAGTTCCTAGGGTTTCCACGCTTCCCAGCGTGACAGAGCCATCCGTGGGCGGCCCTGAGACCTGCGGGCCAAGTAGGCCTCCAGAGCCAGGAAGGGGAAAACCAAGATCCCAGGGGCCCCCTGGGGGGCCAGGACATCTGCTGGCGAGGAGCGAGGAGGGGTAGGACTCGGTAGGACGTCCAGGAGGACTAGGGAATGGGAGGAGGAGGAGGAAGAGGAGGAGGAGGAGGAGGAGGAGGAGAAGGAGGAGGAGGGCTCCTTGAGGGGCCAGGCCATCTGCCTGCGAGCAGAGAGGATGGAAGGACGCCTGGGAGAAATAGGCGGAGGACGGGCGAAAGACCCCGACCGGCTCCCTCCTGGGCCCGCCCTTCTTGCCTTGCGCTCGGCAGCGCGACTGGGCGCGGGGCAGGGAGCGCAGCAGCGGCCCCCCCCCCCCCCCAGGCGGCACAGAAATGACAGGAGGAGAGGAGGAGGAGGAGGAGGAGGAGGAGGAGGGAGGAGGGGAGGAGGAGGAGGAGGAGGAGGAGGAGGAGGAGAAGATCCAGGAGGTGGCGGAGGAGTCAGGATGAGAGGCGAGCGGAGGAGTAGGAGGAGAAGGAGGGCGGAAGCGGAGGAGGGAAAGGAGAGAAGGACACGGAGTGCGGAGGAGCAGAGGAGGAGGCGGAGGAGGAGGAGGAGGAGGAGGAGGAGGAGGAGGGAGGAGGAGGGAGGAGAGAGAATGAGTGGAGTTCAGCGGAGTGGAGCGGAGAGGACTGGAGCCTAGAGGGGAGGGAGGATGAGGCAGAGGATGGAGGAGTGGGGGATGGACGGGATGGAGGAGAAGGAGGGGGAGGAGGAGGAGGAGGAGGAGCAGGAGGAGGACGAGTCAGGAGGAGGAGGAGGAGGAGGAGGAGGAGTCAGGAGGACGAGGACAAGGGATGTGGCGGAAGCATGTCGAAAACGCTTCCCCGCGTCGATGCGTGCCTCGCCGAGCTACCAGGCGACCGGGAGGGCGGGCGGCCGGGCGCTCTCCTCCCTCGTCTTCCTCCTCCTTTACCTCGTCGTCCTCCTCCTCCTCCTCCTCCTCGAGCTGCGACTCCTGCTCCTCCTTCTCCTCCTCCTCCTCCTCTTCCTCCTACTCCTCCTCCTCCGACTCCTCCTCCGCCTCCTCCTTCAGCCTCCTCCTGCCCTACTGGAGCTCCTCCTCCTCTCTAATCCTACTTCCAACTACCCATCCGCCCTTCTCTCCTTCTCCTTCCTAATCAGCATCTCCTGCCTCATGCCTCCTGCCTCATCTCTGTTGCACTCCTCCTCCGCCCTCATTCCCCAACATCCCTCCTGATCTCTTGGATTAGTGGGTTTATACTTCCACCTCCTCCCCTCTCATCACTTCCTCCCTCCTCATCCTCCACCTTCCTTCATCTCTCTCCTCACACTCCTTTCCAGTCATCCCTTTACCTACTCTTATTCCTCTCATTCCCTCCTAATAATCCTCCTTCTCCTGCTCATACTCTCTCTTCACCTCCTCCCTCCCAATTTACCCACTCCCCTTCTAGCATTCTTCTCATTCATTCTCCCTTACTCCTCCCTCCTCCTCCTCCTCCTCCTCCCCCTCCTCCTCCACCTCCCTCCCGCCCATCACTATCCCTTTCACCTTCCTACTCCTTCTCCTCGTCTCCTCGTTCTCCCATCCTCAGTCCTAAGCCTCAGTCTCAGGCCTCAACCTGCTCAGCCTTGGGAGCCAGGGTGAAGCGGCGCAGGGAGTAGAGCAGCGCCAACTGCACGAGGCCGATCTGCGGCTTCGCGATCATGTTGGCTAGGAGCACCCTCAAAGACACTCCCCGGATGCGGTCCACGTCCGACCCAAAGTCGAGCGGCGAAGTGCCCCAGCCCATGGCGTAGAACAGCGTCCTGGGCCCCAAGATCTTGCCGCGGTACCAGATCTTGGACCCTGCGGGGCCCAAGGCTTTTATGGCCCACTTCTCGGGGCGGGGGGGGCGGGAGCCAGGCTGCCTGAGAGGATTAGGGGCCTGGGGGGTGGGTTGGGTCTGTGGCCTGGGCATGGGTGTTCTGGTCCAGATTGGGCTACAGGCTACATGCTAGCTAGCGGCGGCTAGTGGTCTGGGGCCCCCCAGGACAGATCTAGCACCCCGTTTAGGCGAGTCATGCGCGCCTTTGGCCAGCTGGGGGATTTTCCCATTGACGTTGAACGGCTTCCTCCTGAGCGACTGGCTGACGTCGATCGTCAGGTCCTCTGGGATCCCCCCCGCCTTCTCGTGCATCAAGCCGATGACGTCGATGATGTCGCGCTCCCTGTCAGGGAGGATGCCGCGCCGGGGCGTGATGCTGGACATCTTATCAGAACCATACTCAGGTAGGCCGTGCTTCTCCCTGAAATCCATGCTCTCGGAAATGCTGTTCTGGGTCATGCTCCATGTGCCGCCTTCCTTCTTGCTCTTGTAGTGCTTGTTCACCTTGCGCTGGGGCTCCTCGCTCAGATCGATGTCGCCTTCGCTGCTGGGATTGTGCCTCATCATGATGTCGCTCAGCGTTTCTAGCCTCATGGGGTTTGAGTCGCCGCCTTCATGAGCTTCGCCATGGAGCTCCTGACTTCTAGGCTAGCCAAGTCCTTTCTGATGAGCACAAAGAAAATGCGCTTGCGATGAACAGGCAATCCAAACTCACCGGCGGAAATCTCGAAGTACTCGTTGCCAGAGTTACTCTTCATGAGGTCGTACTCGCCCCAGTGCTTCAGCCCGTAGTAGAAGCGAGCGAGGCCCTTGTAGTTTTTCACGGACCCCTTCATGAGGAACTCCAGCGGATTATGCCTTCCTTTATGAGATACAGCCACCGCGCCTGGGACGTTCTCCAGAATGATCGCTTTGGGGGGAACCTTCGGCTGAGTCTGCACCCAGTGGGCAATGTCAACGATAACGTTCCCGTCGGGGTGGTTCCAGAACTTAAAGTCTTTGTCTTGGCGATGCGAATTCAGCGTGCTGAACGGGGGGCACGGGAACCCTGCCACGAGGATGTCGAGGTCCTCTGCTTGCCCATCGCTCAGCCCTTCGCACCCAGACGCCCTACCAGGCCCAACGCAGCAACAGTCGCAGAAGTAACAGAAAGCCTCGCCAGCACTTAACTCCGAGACGTAATTGTAATAGTGGCCGCGCTCCCGCTCGTCAGTGGACAGGTTGTTCCAAACGAAGCGATGACATGGCCTGAAAGGGTCCACGGAGGCAACCAAATCCACGCAGACATTGTCCCCACGGTAGTCCATGATCGTCTTCAGCGCGAAGAACTGGGCGAGTAGCAACGCATCGCGAGCACTTTCCTGGATCCCCATCCAGCGCAACGCCGCTTAAGTCTTAAGTCAAAGTGGGCAAACATGCGCCCCACTCAGAAACCTGAACACGCGACCCTGACGATGCCATGGATGGAGACGGGCCAGGAAAGTGCATTCGCGAGCGTTGGCAACCCACGCGCCTGAGACTCAGTGCCAGAACAGAACGACAACACCCTGAGCTTCTTGTTGGAACCGCCGTCGGAGGCTGGGTGCACTGGGAACTTGATGTCGTCGAACTTGCATTTGAGCAGGCTCTCGAATATGCTGCCGTAGTGGCCTATCCATTTCTCATTAACCTCGAACTCAAGCTTCTTCCGTTTCTGTCTGAGCTCCTCTGCTTCTCTCTGGAGATTATCTACCTCGTCCTCGTCAGCCAGGTCAGCGAGGTCGCCACTGGAGCCCTCGGACACCTCAGATGACTCAGAGGAGGTCGTGGACGGGGACAACTCGGAGGACTCGTCATACTCGTAGTTGGCCATGGGGGAGGCCTTGCACGGCGTGGCGGGGGGAGGGAGGGGGAGCGCGCTTGCTAGGCTGCTAGGTCTTCCAGTTTTCTTCCTGATGCAAAAATGCAGAAAAAACTTGTCCTCCCGTTGCTCAACCCTCAAGTCTCCCTCATCCATCCTTCCTCCCTCTCCTCCAACTAACTCATTCCTCCTCCCACTCGTCCTCCTCCTCGTCCTCCTCCTCCTCCTTTCCTCTTCCTTCTCCTCCTCCAACTCCTCCTCCTGGACTCCTCCTTCGCCCCTCCTTCGTCAGTCGTCCTTGTCTTCCTGGACTCTCCCTTTGTCGTCCACCTCTCCTCCTCAGATCCTCATCTCCGCCATCTTGGCTTGATGGACCTTGCTGGGGCTAGCTGGCGAAGGCTGGGCAGCGGCTAGCTGAGGCTGGCTGTAACGCTGGAACTAGCTGGGGCTAGTTGGGGCTAGCCAGGGTTAGCCAGTGCTTGCGGGCTAGGCTCGAGGACGCGGGAGGGGGGGGGGGAAGGCGGAAGGTCGAGCCTCGAGCCCCAGGGGCCAAGGGGGCCCCACGAGTGTCCAAGAATATTCCCAGAGCGCATTTGCGCTCGCGCTCGCTGGCGCCCTTATCAGGCCGTCGAGCGACAGCGATGGCCATGGCCATGGCTCAGCAGCCGTTGTTGCGGATCCGCAGCCAGCCAGTGGATATGAATGCGTTGCTTTGACAGGCCATGCCTTGGTCGATGAGCGCTCAGCAACTCATGGCCCATGTCGTCGTGGAAGCGCCGCCTTGATTGACGATGCCTCCGCAGTTCATGAGTTTCACAGCGCTGTCGCGGATTCGCAGCCAGGCGGTGGTCATGGATGCGTTTCCTCGACGGGCCATGGAGGTCGGCACGTGGGCGAAACGCTGGGCGGCAGCCCAACACCTTGGCCTTTTTACATGGGGGGGGGCAGCCAATTAGTGGAGGCGTTCGAGGTGGGGGCTTGCGAAGAGATCAGCATGCTGCTGAAGGCAGCCAGTTGGTGAAGGAGGTGGAACCGCTGCCCTGGCAGACCCTGGGGGCCCGCGAGCGGGCGCCAGGGGCGCAGCAAACCAACGCCATGGTCACCATGACATGCTTGCTGGCCAAGCTGCTGCTGTTTCACAGTGAGCGGCGGAGGCCGTGGTCAGCCAGCGGCAGTGGGCGAGGGGGTTGCTGGTGAGGAGGCCGTCATCGTCACCCACTTCGCCAGTCCAGGTCTGATGACCTGGCAGCCCACTGGGAGGCGGGGCAGGACTACGCCAACATGTTCCTCGCGACAGCGCTGGCAGAGATCAGCGCCATCACGTGCCCAAGCGCGCGGATGAACGTGGCTGAGGAGGGCTCGGCAGACCGTATCTGGCGAGTGGTTCTGCGGCAGGCGGGGGTCGGAGGTCGGGCATACAGACGCGACCTCTAACTCCGCTTGGCGCTGGCGCGGAGGGTTGTACCTCCAAAGCGATGGCGAGCACGGGGGGCCCAGGGGATTGCCCCCCTGGGGCACAGTCGCAAGTGGCGTATCATGTTTTTTATTGGCCCCTGCCCTGACGCCAGGTGCGCGCACTTAGAATGATAGCCCTTTGGCGTTTGACCGTTTGGCTAACATTAAAGCGGGAAGGCTCGAAATTAGACGCTTCAGGGTTTCCATAATCGTTAGATGCCCTCGACTCTCAGCCCTCAGAAACCACGTGCAAGTCAGCCATTCGCCAGGATAGGAGGTTCCGAGATTAGGGAATCAGGGACTGAGGGCTAAGAGACAAGAGATAAGATAATGGAAGGGGTAGGGAGTAGGGGGTATGGACACTGGGGATGGGGATCATCATCAGGAGACCGAGACCAGTTAGAACCCGGATCGGGATGAGGATGGCGAGGACCCGCAGGTCCAACATCAGCAGAACCAGGATGTGGCTAGTTAGTAAGGAGCCCGAGGATCGGGATGAGAGGATGAGGAATAACGACAGCCAGGACATGGAAAATAGCGGAGAAGGGAACGAGGTGATCCAGGGTTCTTTGGACCAAAAATTTCGAATGGTAGCGTCTAAATTGTTCATTGTTCAAGATAGCCCCCAGGCTCAACCATGCGCCAAGTCTCCAAGAGGCCTCCAAGCCCCCTGAGCCCTAAGCCCTTACGCCCTAGGACATAGCAGCCCCCGTGCTGACCGCTGACCTGACCATCACCCTCCTGGTCCTGACTTCTCTCCCCCCACTTCTCTCCCCCACTTTCGTCTCGCCCTCCCGCTACCTCTCTACCCTCTATACCGTAACCCGTAACCCTACCTAGATCCTAGCCTATAGCCTATAGCCTATAGCTGATTTGTAGCCTGTAGCCTGCGTATACCTTGTAGCCTGTAGCCTATATCCTATAGCCTATTACACTCTAGCCTGTACCCTGTACCCTCCTCTACCCTCTACCTTCTACCCCCTACTCAAACCGAAACCTCCTCCTTTTCTCCCCATCGCGCCAGCTCGGCAAGGTCGTCGCGCTCCTTGGGGCCATGCGCCATGGCATCGCCCTTCTCGCTATCAATGATGAGGTCGCTCATGACGCCCCGGAGCTCGCTATGCGCCCCAGGCTTCCCCAGGGGGCCCCAGAGGAGGGGCCAGCTGGCCAGCCTTGAAGCCAGTCAGCTTGCAGCGAGAAGAATTGGGGACAGGGGTCATTGTGTCCTGGATTTCTCCTCACCTCCACCCTCCACCTCCTTCCTCCTCCCCTCCACCTCCTCCCTCCTCCCACCCCCCTCCCCTGGCCCCTTCCCTCACCCCCCCCTTCCTCTAGCATCCACTCTCCAGACGGGAGGAAATTGCAGGACCTGTCCCAGGCGCGTTCCAACCAGGATTTCGAGACGACTCCCAAAGCCCAATGCCAATCGCCCGTGGAGCGAGCATGAGATTGCAAAAAGGTGCAAACGCCGATGCGCCAACTGTTCCACCAGTGAAACGCCCATGCGCCGACTAGGCGCCGACTATTTTGCCAATGCAACCTCGATGCGCTGACTAGGCGCCGACTATGCGCCGACTATTCGCGTTTCCAAACGCTGATTCGCTAAGTTTTCAGGCGTTCAATTTTTCAGTGCAGGTCGACCAAAATCCACTCAACATTAGTCGGCGCCTAGTCGGCGCAGGGGGCGCCAACCAGGCGCCCTTTTAGTCGGCGCCTAGTCGGCGCCTAGTCGGCGCCTAGTCGGCGCAAGGGCGCCAAAATAGTCGGCGCCTAGTCGGCGCAAGGGCGCCAAAATAGTCGGCGCCTAGTCGGCGCAGGGGCTGTTTCGCCAGCGTTTGCAAACGCACCTAGTCGGCGCCTAGTCGGCGCCTAGTCGGCGCATGTCGGCGCGCGCCTGTTTGCAAACGCCAATAGTCGGCGCCTAGTCGGCGCCTAGTCGGCGCATGTCGGCGCGCGGGTTGTTTGCAAACTCCCGCCCCTCTGTTTCTATGTCGGCGCCTAGTCGGCGCCTAGTCGGCGCATGTCGGCGCGCGCTTGTTTGCAAACAACCACAATATGGTTTCTATGTCGGCGCCTAGTCGGCGCCTAGTCGGCGCATGTCGGCGCGCGCCTGTTTGCAAACGCCAATAGTCGGCGCCTAGTCGGCGCCTAGTCGGCGCGCGCTTGTTTGCAAACTCGCACCACGCCACATTTAGTCGGCGCCTAGTCGGCGCCTAGTCGGCGCATGGGGTGCCATCTTAGTCAGCGCCCAGTCGTCGCATGTAGATGGCATGTGTACATGATGAGCTATCATGTTGATATCATGTGTACACCATGTAGCTAGGACAACTAGCAATGATACGTATGTGCATGTGTGTGGTCGTTCAATGCAGCATATCTGCATGAGTGTAACGACATATGCAGGCACACATGTTGCGCGTGCATCACATATCAGATAACATGCATGATTGTATCAGGTATTCGGATGATATGTACACTACTCCACGTGCTGTCGCACGAAATGAAGCATGACAGAGCGCTCCTATGAGCTACGAGCGCTTGGGTATGTTGGCATAGTATGTGCAGTATGTGTATAAGTGAAGTGATGTGTGACGACATGTTGTATGTATATGTATATATCACAGCTTGTTACCCCCAGCACGGCGTCCCGTATCCAAGCATCGACGCATCAACCATCAATCGCGTACTCATATCGGTGATCACCCTCACTGTCGGCCACGCAAACACTTGGCAACCATTGGATTATCAAACGCCCCATGGCCGATACCATCGCCTACATGGCCAGTAAGTGGAGTATGCCAGTTGTGGTTTACTGTCTATGATTTACGACGTATGGTACGTTTGCGCCTGCGTGCGTGTGCACCATGACCTATGGCCTAGCCCTAGCCCCTTGCACCCAATGACAGGCCCCTCCCCAAAAAAAACAAGAAGGGGGCGACAGTCAAGGTCCCACGCCCCCAGGGGTGGAGGGGCGGTGGAAGGAGCATGGACAGAGGCGCATGACAGACCAATCGAGACCCACGCCGCCCACGCGGCTGGCCCTCTGACTCTGATTCTGACTCTGGTCTCTGACTTTACTTTCCTCGCGAGCGCCATTGCCTGACCGTCAGGGTCTGACCCTGTCTCTGGCAAACTGAGCTAAAGGTCATAATATCAAATACCCATCGGTCGCAGGAAGTCCGTACAACCATAAAGTAGGAAGGCGGCAGAAGTAGATTGGGCTTCGCCCCGTCCAGGTAGAAGCACACTAGCCTGTCGCTTAAGGTAGATTGGGATCTAGATGTCCAACAATACCTACTTCCATCCACCGTGGGCACCCTATATCTTGACCCAAAAGCTTTAAACCATATCGCAACTGCGCAAGGGGCCCTCGCCCATCACGCTCAACCTCGCATTTGAAACGCCCTGGTAAGTGAACCTGGATACTCATTCACCCCTGGGCCCTGAGCCTTGAGGAAGCGAATGCTCCCGCCAAGAAGCAAAGAAACGGGCATCCTCACCCCCAGGCTCTGGCAGGGCATCCCCCTCCCGAGGGCCCGGCACTTCCCGGGCGGGGCTGGCCGGCG